CACCGCTATTGCTTCCAAAGGTGAAAGCCAAAGTGGTGTTTTAGTTTCCAATAAATTTTTATATTTGTCCCATATTCTATACATTTTTTCCTAATTATATGGTTTCACCTTTTCATACCACAGATGAGAAGTGTGCCAACCAAAAATATTATTGTGACCTTCCAAATGTAAAATATGTGGATTCTTCAATAGCAACCATTCATTCAAACAGCACTGACAAGATGCTTCATAATATAATCTCATATCCGGCAGGGAGAAACATCCTCTATCTTTCGTGTCTATCGGTATTTTATATTTTATTCTTGGTTTTTTCCCCCTTGCCAGATATATTTATAAATATATTTTTTGCTATTTGTTGAAGCAATCTGACTTGCTGATCACTGGTATTGATTGGGGGGGGGGACATTATTGGTAATACATTCATTTTTGTGGTTAACACTCTGCCCAGCAATGAAAGTTTCATTCTACCCCATATTTGCAAATTTCTTTTAATATCCCCCCAGGTTTTCAAATAGTTATATTTATATAGATTCATATTCTTTGCTGTTAACCATATACCTAAATACTTAACCTTCTTTTCGATCTTTAGACCTGATATATTTTGTAATTTATTTTTACTCTCATCAATCATATTTTTACCAGGAGTTTGGTTTTATCTTTGTTAATTTTAAGATCTGCTATTTCACCATTTTTTAAAATCTCTTCTAATGTTTTTGGAATTGACTCTATTGGTTCTTCTTGTTTGAAGAACATTTGACGCCAACTTTCTCACTGGCTCTGCTCATTCCAAAACCTGGGGGCCACTACTGCCGCCAGATATGCCAAAAGAGTAGCACAGGAAGATTTTCCTGTCAGATCATCTCCATCTCAGGTAAACCATAGATTGCTAAATTAGGCCATACAGGAGCAGGGCCAGTATTAAAAAATTTGCAACCCTGTGGGAAGGGGAAATACTGACATCTGATCCATCCTGATGTTAAAGCCCTCATTCCTGGCAGACTGCAGCCTTTGCACTTTTGTTTATCTGCAAATATTTCAACACAGAAGGCAATCCTTCCTCTTTCATTATATATCTTCTGATTCCAGTCGGCTGGTAAACAAAAGAAAGCGACAGGTTTTTTTTTGTTAGCATGCGAAAAAACCACCCCCAAATTTGGACTGCTGTGTGATTAAAAGAGTTATGAGGCTGTAATCCTCTGCACAATTAATTTGGGACGAAGGGAAATGTATTGATAAGTAAACAGAAAAAGAGAGGCCTATCTGAGAGGGGTTTCAAAAATATAAATCCCCCTACAGGGTAAGGATATTTGAGTGTGAAACCTTTGCAGGACCCACATAGTGCTGTTCGCTTATAATTAGAAAGAGTGTGAAATAGCTATGTATTTTTAAAGAAGTGTGAGTTCCTATTAATTTCCGTGCGAAAGATGGAGAGATAAGATCAGAGAGCGCTTCTTCCTGCACAGCGCCTCTTAAGACCTTCAAAGAGAAGGCTCGGAAGCTACAGAGCGGGGCCTTCTTTGCAGTGGGACCAATGCTTTGGACTGAGCTCTTCAAAGAAGTGTGGTGACTTTGGGTTATAGGAAGCTGACCTGTTGATCCATCTAGCCCAGTACAAGCAGCTCCCCATTGCTTCGGCCAGAGGTCTTTCCTAGTTCTGCTACCCTACATCTTTTTAGTTGAAGAAGATAGAGTCTGGACCTTGAACTCTCTGTATGCAAAACAGAGGCGTCAGCTTCTCAGCATGATTAAGGGGGTCCTGGCGTTGCGTGACCAATGTCGGGAGGAGCCAGGGGGCAGAGCTGAGCGTCCTCAAACATTGCGTGGGCCCAGCCTCCTCAAAAATGAACTACCACCACCCAACACCCCAAAAGTGCTTTGGCCTCTAGGATCCTGTGCCTATGATGCAAAATGTGCTGGGCTGTTCACCCAGGGGAAACCATGTGCACACAGATGCACATCTAAAAGGGTCTCTCGTCTGCACAATTCATTTACTCTGTGGAAGCCTATCCTCCATGATGATCTTCCCCCTGCCCCCTTCTCTGTTGGGTTATACTGGAAAGACATTGTTGCCAAACAGTTTTGGTTTTTTTAAACGAGGCCCCAATGCTCCAAGTGGGGAGAATTCCCAAGGGTGCAGTCTGGTTCCCTTGTTGGAAGAAGGTCACAGGCGGAAGTGTCAATTGTGTCTTCTCCTGGTCTCTCATTTAAGTTCACTTCTCTACATTTCCACATTAGTTTGCATCTACTTATGTTCAAGGATCAGCTGCTGTTTCAAAGCCCAGATATATATTTTTTTCTTGTTAGGGCTGGTCCAAGACATTTTGCTGCCTGAGGCAGAGGACAAGATTGTGCGTTCCACCTGCACGTTCTCCATCCCCAATCCATGTACAGAAACCCACTGGACTGAGAGTTTAATCTTGCTTCAACATTGGTGACTAGTTAACTTCCTCCACCACACCTAAGGGCAGAAGCCTAGTGTAGGGGGCACACACAGCTCTGTCCTCCAGTGGAAGGGATCAGCTAGGGTCCTCAGGGCGAACGGCTAGAGGGTTGCTGCACAGTATCTGCTGCCTGAGGCAGTTGCCTTACTGTGTCTCATGGTAAGGCCGGCTCAAGTTCCTTTGTCACATGCAGCCAACCTTTGCGTATGTACTACAATTAGCTGCTGCCTGCACTGTAACATTTTGGCACATTTGAATTGAACCAGCACCCACAAAAGGGCAAGCACCAATCTCTAGTTTCAATTCATATTGTGGTTTTATGATGCACCCAAAGTTGTGGTTGGGAATCTTGGTTTCTTCATGAGAGCATAAATGCGGTATGTTCTCATTCCTTTGCTGGGGCTACCCCCTCCTTCAGATTCACAAGGTGACTTAGCCAGTATGTAGGGAAAATTTCCACATGGGAGCCCTTCACGTTTGCGGGGAAGCCCCAGCCACAAAGATTATTTCTGTGCCCTGTGACTTTAGCCATTTCCATGCAAACGGTGCAACATTTTGGGTAGTCTACAGCTACTTCAAGGCACTAGACATCACATGCCAGCTTCCAGGTGGATTAGAAAGAGCCCTTGCCACAAAGGCAGTTTTAAAACAGCCTCCTTCTCATTGCTTTCAGTGAGAGGACATCTCTTCTCTTGCTTGTAACTTCCGTGTTTTCCATCCAAATAGTGTGACATTTTCACACATTCTATTGCATTTCCAAAACGTTTCGCCTAACTTTCGACAGAAAAGATAAAGGCTAACCAGACATATTTGCATATACCAACTCCAACACCCGTAACCCTTTCTGCGACCTGGTACAGGCTGTTTCAGTTTTTCATCTCAAAAGAAAGGAGTGAGAAATGAATGGCCTGGTTGAGAAGTAAATTAATTCATTCATTTGAAGTTCCGTTTGGTTTTATAATCAAAATGAATGTAACAAGGGAGCTGTGTTTTTAAAATGAAGGCACAACCGAAGTGGGGTGCATCTTTCTTTCTTTTTTAAACACAAAAAGCAGTGTGGAGGGGAGGGCAGGATTCCCACCCCCCCGCAGTGCCCCTGTCCACACAGCCAGACCATTGGTCCACCTATCTCAGTATAGTGGTACCTTGGGTTACAGACGCTTCAGTTTACAGACTCCGCTAACCCAGAAATAGTACCTCGGGTTAAGAACTTTACTTCAGGATGAGAACAGAAATTGAGCGGCGGCAGCAGCATGGCAGCGGCGGGAGGCCCCATTAGCTAAAGTGGTACCTCACGTTAAGAACAGTTTCAGGTTAAGAACGGACCTCCAGAACTAATTAAGTTCTTAACCAGAGGTACCACTGTATTATACTGACTGGCAGCAGTTTCCCAAGGTTTCAGGTAGGGAGTCTCTCTCAGCCTTGTCTGATGATGCCTGGGATCTTGTACATGCAAAGCAAATGCTCCACCGCTGAGATTCCACCTTTCTCAGACACATTCCATTTCAGATAAAAATAGGCCACCGCTTCCCGCTCAGTTTGTGAATGGAGCAGAAATGGGAATCGAATGGGAATGGAAAGGAATTAAATGTACCTAAGTCCTTGCGGCTGCCCTGTTGTATCTAGGGCCCCATCTGCACTATGCAGTTAAAGCAGTGTCATACCGCTTTAAATAGTCATGGTGCCCCCCCTAAGAATCCTGGGAACTGTAGTTTGTTAAGGGTTCTGAGAGGTTCTATTCTCCCATCGCAGAACTGTAAGACTCAGAGTGGTTTAACCATCAATCTCTCTCCCAAGGGAATTCTGTGAGGGGAACAGGGATCTCCTCAGTACCCTTAACAGAGCACAGTTCCCAGGGTTCTTTGGGGGTAGCCCTAACTCTTTAAAGTGGTATGATACTGTTTTAAATGTATAGTGCAGAAGGGGCCTAGCTTTGTCTTGCCGTGTATTCAGCTGCTGTCTGATGGATTCAGTCAGTTGTCAAGCTTAGAATTGACTCCATCTTCCAGATAACCTGTTTGTTTTTTAAGCATTTGTCTTGATTTGTTTGCACAAAATTTGCATGGAGAATTGCTGTTTATTGAGCATTCAGATTTGTTTCCACAGGTTGTATGACATCACTGTCATTCCACTCTTCACAGTGCACTTTATTGTTTCTTCCCTTACCTCAAAAATAATAATAAACAGGGGTTTGTTGCACAAGAGCACCAAATCCACTTCAGTTGTGCAACCTGTTCTTCCCACAGACCTGTGGAGGAAATTGAACTGTGGTTTAGGGTTGCCAGTTTACCAACTCTGCTCTGCTCTTGTGCATTCAACAGGAGCATGGCCTGCTGATATTACTAGGTAACAATGTTTATCTCCATGCCATGAAATACTTTGCTTTCTGATTTATTCAAATCCAACTGCTATCTATGGCACAGGAACAATCTTGGTCTCTTTTTCCCCTGACTAGCTGGCAAACTTTGGTGCAGTAGGAAATGACAAGAAGATGACTTCTGGACTGCTTCTTCTTACTCCATCCACTCTGAATAAACATGGCACCTCCTCTTTCCACAGGTCCATCACCATCGCTGGGAGACAATATTGACATCTCTCCAGTAGCCCTGTTCTCCTCCAATGTCAGCAAGCAGTTTGGATATCAGGTCCTGCAGTTTGGAGAAGGCCCTGACACTAGGTAATCCCCCGGTCCACATGGCAGGGGATGTGTGTGAAGGATTTTTGTATTGGGTTTCTCCTAACTGTGGGAAATGAGTGGTTACAGTTGCCATCCAGTCCCCCGTATAGGTTTTTTTAATGCTTCAAACACCTGCCAAACAAAAATCCCAATAACAGGAAGCTTCATGTGCTAAATGTCCAAATATCAAGCTGTTGTGAAAGGCAAAAGAGAAGTTGGTGCTGTGGATGTCTTGCAGAAGCATTATTCAACCCTGGGTCACCCATATGTTGTTGGACTACAACTCCCATCATCCCTAACCATTGACTAAGCTGGCTGGGGATTATGGGAGTTGTAGTCATAACAAACATCGGGGACCTAAGGTCGTAGAACACTTGCTTAAAGGGAGGAATCAGTCAGGAAGGCGAACAAAAACTTAATTGTCTATCTGCGATAAGTACAAAACAGTAGCAAGAAACTCCTAGTACCACCCAGGTGCAACTAAGTCTGGTGTCCCCTGGTAACTAAATTATATAGTGATGCAGTCTATGTCCACACAATTGGCAATTTCAGGTATGGCCTTAGCTGGTCTCTTAGCAAAAGGCATTCCACACTTTAGGACACCCTCGTGTGAATCCTTCTTTATTGGAGGGAAGGAATTTTAAAGCATTGTGATTGGCTATGGGTTGCCGTTGCCCTGACTCCTCTGTCAGTTTGAACTGCTTCCCTATGTATATTCAAGTGTCACAACTACCTAAACTGGGAAAATAGAGTGGGGAGGCAAAACTTTCAAGTTCTTGGGGACCAGATGTCCTAGCAAAATGGTAGCATATCACATATTTTACTGATGCATTTGCTCTGTCTCTTCCACGGAGACAGTAGGTGGGACCCCGGCTATAGTGATAGTTTCCTTTTGGCTAGGAATTTAAAAGAGCGGATTGGCTGATTTGAGAATATTGCTGGGGGAAAAGCTGGAGAGTGAAGCCTCCACTCTCTGCAACTGAACATGGAAGCATTGTGGAGGACCGAGGGGGCACAGGATTCATCTAGGGTGGTGCCTTAGTTGCCCAAAGTGAGAAACCCCCACTGACAGCACGGCACAAAGCACACTACAACATTTTTGCCTGGGAAAAGAGGAATCCCATACATGTGACTTCGACTTTCACTATTCTGGATTTATATTCTGTGACTGAGTGGAAAGTTCACATCCTGTTTGGTTTCGTTGGGGTTTTTTTTGAGGGGGGCACTCCCAACCTGTTCCCCTTTTTTTGAACTCTGTGTTATTTTTTGCACAGTGTTTTTCAAGAAGTGAGAATGAAAAGTTGTAGCAGGGGGTGGGGGGCGGGAAGGGAGGGCTGGTCCCTTTTTTAATGGATAGGAGCCTCCCTAAGAGCTGTGTGGCAGGCAGAAATTCAGATGGTGCAGCTTCCCTGCATTGTTTCATTGCCACTCCAGAAAAAAAAAAGTTTGTCTGCCTGATTTCTGCCTGTCATTATGCTGTTAAAGGCATACTTTGGGAACTGCAGCTTAAAGGTTAAATCTTTACATAACACCTGCTGTTAATTCTTGTCAGGATCATTGTGGGAGCCCCCGGTGAGCAGAACTCCACAGGCAAAGTATACCAATGTAACATGCAGAGCGACACATGTGAAAACGTCCCGCTTGACGGTGAGTTGTGGGACACTAGGATGCAGGCCCATTCAGGCAGATTTCCAGAGTGATTAATGTGTGTTTCACCTTCCCTCTCCATCCACCATACAGGCAAGCATGAGGCCAGGTCAGAGTTGAAGGGCATATTCCACCCTGGCAAAAAAGCTCAAGTCAGATGTGGAGCAGGGCCAGTAGGAGGTGTGGCTGAGGAGCGGTTGTGGCCTGAGGAGAGTCCTCTTGAGGGTCAGAAAGAGTAGCTTGGGGGGCTACATATGGCACCCAACCATGAGGTTCCCCACCATTGTTGCAGACCCTGAATAGATAGTCCTCAGTGAGCTTCCACAACTTGAGAAGAATTATGCCACAATAATTGAGGAAGCGCTCCAGAATCTCCATGTCAGAGGTGGTTCTAGGGAGATTCCCTAACTGTCCATGGTGGCCTGTTCAAATGGCGGCCATTTTGCCTCGGTGTGTGTGGGGGATCCTGACTGGCTTTTAGGCCTGTGCAGGTATCTAAGGGCAGGGGGAATGGCTACAGATCTGCAGGGTCTACATTGAGTGTGTCTCATTTGGCACGGATCCATCTGACCTCGATGTCTCTTTGCAGGGGGCTCCGGGGTGTCCCACCTTGGCATGACCCTGGCAAGTGACGTTCGAGGGTCGAAGATGATTGTGAGTTTGCGCTGGAATTGCTTGGAGGGGGGTGAATTTGAGCAACATAAACTGGGCACAGAGTTTCTGGGTCGTATTCAACTCACTTTTATTCAGAGTCGGCCCGTTAAAATTAATCGACCCAAGCTAGTCATGACAATTCATTTTAGTGAGCCTGCTCTGAGGAAAAATGTTAGTTGAGTACAGCCCTGTGTTTCCAAGATTCATTTGACTGCTATGATGAGAGTCTCAAGAATCCTTACTGTTTATTAAATTTACTTCCCTCCCAAAGGAGACCAGGGTTGCCCCCAGAGACATTTTGGTGCCTTAGGCGCAAACCCCAAATTGCAATGGGAAGTGCTTTTATGCAACTCCTGTTTGTGTCACTTAAGGCCTGTGTAGGAGAATATCTCTGGGAATCAGCTCAGACTTCAGCTCTGCTGTCCATAATCTTCCACCTGGGAAACCCCTTCACTCTTGGTGGTGCTATCTGTCTTTGGTGGCCACAGAGCTCTGCTCTATTCGGTTACTTCCGGAGAGTTCCAGAACCCCCCTTCTCCATTCATCCAGCTGTGGACTTCCCTTGTTCCAGAACTTCCCTTGTCCCTATGAAATATCATCTAATCGCTTACTCTTTTTAATATTTATTTTTCACCTGTTACTTGAAACTTCCTCCCCTGCAGGCATGTGGGCCGGGACTTGCAGAGCATTGTGACAAAAATCTTTACCTGAGCGGGATCTGCTATTTGTTTGATGCCAAACTGCGCAACCCAGAGAGCATAAAGACCGGATACCAAAGTAAGGAGGAAATGTCCCTTCACCCTGGGCAGATCTCACAGTGGGGGAGGGTGCAGCCTATGAAACCTTCACCCAGAAAATTCTCAGGTTAAGCAAAGGTTGGAAACTCGGAAGAAGCTTCTATTATTTTATTTTTAAATAAAATAGTTCCATCTTTAGTTCTTCAGTCATTGGTTCCATCTTTAATGTGAGCACTGTTTCTTAGGAATGCAACTTGCAAAGTTCCTTCCAGAGAAGAGCTAGGTTTAAAGGTGAAACAATACCTCAACCTCTTCTTAGCCTTTCCTTGATGGACTGTTAAGAAACAGTTTCTTGTTTCTTAATATTCCTGTTTGGACACAGGAAATCTCCTCACCCAATTGCCAGCTCTCTTGCCAGGCAAGCCAGAGTCCCAACACTTATTTGCAACTTCCCTCTTGTTTATTTGCTTGGTTGTTTGTTTGTATATAGATATGCATATCCCAATACATTGAAAATGCAAGTATTGAAATGGCCACAAGCAAACAAAGAATTACACTCTTTACAAATACCATGAGGTTATGAGTAAATTTTAAATACTATAATTCCGGAGTATCAATGCATAAACAATAAAGAGAGAGAAAAAGGAAAACCAACTTATTTCATGTATTTACCGGTAATATAGCTAATAGGGAGAAGGTATTAACCAGGGCATTTTATTTATATATTTATAATATTCTGTTTAGGGACGCGGGTGGCGCTGTAGGTAAAAGCCTCAGCGCCTAGGGCTTGCCGATCGAAAGGTCGGCGGTTCGAATCCCCGCGGCGGGGTGCGCTCCTGCTGCTCGGTCCCAGCGCCTGCCAACCTAGCAGTTCGAAAGCACTCCTGGGTGCAAGTAGATAAATAGGGACCGCTTACTGGCGGGAAGGTAAACGGCGTTTCCGTGTGCGGCTCTGGCTCACCAGATGCAGCTTGTCATGCTGGCCACGTGACCCGGAAGTGTCTCCGGACAGCGCTGGCCCCCGGCCTCTTAAGTGAGATGGGTGCACAACCCTAGTCTGTCAAGACTGGCCCGTACGGGCAGGGGTACCTTTACCTTTACCTTTATTAACCAGGGCATTTTATTTATATATTTATAATATTCTGTTTTTGAAGAATCATATTCATATATTATAAAATTGCAACAAGATATAACCAACCAACTTTGGAACAGTAGTTCTTTAAACATTGCCCATTCTTGCTTGAAATAAATTTATTTCTTTTTCCCTGGTTGAACCCAAAGCATCCAGGTAATTTTACTCGAAGTTGGCAGTTCCCATAGTTTAATAAACCATTCCTTCCCTGCTCATATTTACATCTAGACCAGTGTTTCCCAACCTTGTGCCTCCAGCTGTTTTTGGACTACAATTCCCATCATCCCTTGCCACTGGTCTTGCTAGTCAGGGATGATGGGAGTTGTAGTTCAAAAACAGCTGGAGGCACAAGGTTGGGAAACACTGATCTAGACTATAACCAATCTCCCCATTCGTCCCACAGAGTGCTTGAAAGGGAATGTGGACCTGGTGTTTCTCTTTGACGGGTCAGAAAGCATGAAAAATAGGGATTTCAGCAACATTACGGAATTTATGATTGGCGTGATGGACGGACTACACAACAGCACTGTACATGTAAGATATACTTGTCGGACACTAGAGGGTCACAGCCCAGGGCTTTGAGCAGCTGGAAAAACAAAGCAAACTTTGGAGAAGTGAGCCATAGTTTTGTTTGATCGACTGTGGGACAACTCACAATTAATTTGTGGTTTGTTAAACAAGCAATGTCTTAAGCCAGTGGTTCTCAACCTGTGGGTCCCCAGATGTTGTTGGACTACAACTCCCATCATCCCTGAGCTCTGGGATTGCTAGCGAGGGGTGATGGGAGTTGTAATTCAACAATATCTAGGGACCCACAGGTTGAGAAAGGCTGTCTTAAGCTAACCATGGTTTAGTGTTACTTGTGAACCAGGTCGATGTCTGTGGTCCTTAGTAGTACACCTTCATCCTTCAGCCTGGGCAAAAAGGGTTAGCTTGTTTTGCGTTACTGTTTTGCCACAATGATGCACTCTTTCTGCTCTCCCCTTCCAGTTTGCTGCTGTGCAGTTTTCGAGCTCACCCAAAATTGAGTTTGATTTCAATGATTATACAAGAAATCCCAACCCTCGAGCACTCTTGAAAGGAGTGACACATATGAAAGGCATTACGAACACCTTCAAGGCCATCAGATGTGTGGTGTGAGTAGTATTGCTTTCAGTGGCTGGCAAAGTCAGGAATGGGGCCCTTTGGGAAGGAGGGAGTGGGCTCTGACAGATCATGGGATTACGTGTCCTTTGACAAGAGATACATAAACTAAGAACCTGCCTTGGAGCATAGCCCCCCAACTCTATCATGACAGTGAGCAGATACCATCGGTTGTAGAGTACCATCATAAGGCATAGCAGTAGCAGAGAAGTGCCGCCACTAACTATAGGCTGTTTCAGGTTCAGATTTTATTGTTCTTTGTAGCCATAAACATAAAATGCATACAGGAATCAACCTTATTCCTGCTGCAGGGCATGCTTTTACCCAGCTTAGATTTCAGACTATGCCTATTGAATATTTGGCTGGTAGACTTTATAGTAGGCAAGTAAAGGAACATTTTTGCGAATGCAGAACAGGCCCAGCAGAAGATGCCGTGCACTATATTTTATACTGTCCTTTATATAATTCACCAAGGATTAAGTGTATTCTTCCCCTTCAGGCCTCCTTACAAGGACAGCCAGAGGATTATAAGACAAGATGGCTGCTGGCTGCTGGATTAAGTCCTTCAGCTCTAGGGTAGCTTTATTTGCACTAGCGGCAAAAAAACAAAACAAAACTCAGGAGAGTCCTGACTTATATTAGTGCTAATCATTAAAGGAAATTTTTAACTAAACGAATATTTTAAATTCTGTCTATTTGCATTCTCAGGGCTTATCCCTGTTTTATGTTCTTGGTATTTACAGTGTGTTCTCAGAACGCTGTCTTGGGTTTGGAGGGTGGGGAACGCCAATATGCCCACCTTCTCCTGCATTCTGATTCCATGAGATTTAAATCGTAGTACAATACATTGCAGCGTGAGAAATAAAAGAAGCCTTATAAGACACTCAAATGAATATTCTGATGACTGGCACCCACAAGAAAGCATGTGGCAAAATTTGAGAAATTAATCTTCTGTTCTGGAGGGAGTTGGAGGGAAGCTGGGGAAACTCTGTGTTTTGCTTATACCTTGTTGAAAATCAGTAAAAATTCCTTATAAGAGAAATAAAAGCAGCAACAACAACTCAGTTAAGAATCAATATGAATACTTAATGTGGACATGCCATGGACCACCTGGGTGAACCTTACAGACCACAGTTTGGGAATCCATGTTTTCAAAGGATTTGTCTTGGTCCAGAAAATAACTATTCCCTTGTTTACTGATGGCAGGGATCAAGTTTTCATTCCCGAGCGCGGCATGCGGAAAGGATCAAACAAAGTGATCATCATCATCACCGATGGAGTTGCCTCAGATAGTGACAATGGGGTCATAGCCTCTGCCAAGAAAAAGGGCATCTTACGCCTTGCCATTGGGGTAAAGTACCTAGGAGTTGTGTCTCAGCCTTGCAGGATAGTGCTTAAGTTCTCCAAGGCCCAAACAGAAAACAGCCGGCAGGAGGCTGGAGGAGGTGCAGGAAAGCGGCTGTGGTGGCTGCGCTACCCTGCTGTAAGGTGGGGAGGCTGAGCAGTGCAAACAGAGCCTTGCTGTGCCTCCAGTCTATTTGGGGCTTCCTCCGCCCTCACTGACATCCTGTTCGGGCTCCAGGGAGGGTCTTCTCACCAGTCACAAGGACTCTCCATCACATTCCCGCCATTTCCGCATTTGAATTGAATTATTTAATTCCCAGCGCTGCACATATATGCAGCCACATGCAAGTCAATCACACGTAAGTGGGGGTGGGGTAGGGCGGACACCTGTATAGATACCCCACTGCCAAGTCCTACCTTAGCCTGCCTCATCTGGTCCTTCCTTGTCTCTCCAGATTGGGCATTATTTTAACACCGAAGAAGCTCAGGATAACCTCCGGGAAATTGCCTCAGAACCCACAGACCAGTTTGTGAAGGTGCTGGCCACTTTTGAGGAGCTCAGAGGCAGTTTCAACGACCTCCAGTCTAAGATCTATGCGATTGAAGGTGTTTATTTGGGTTCATGGATTAGTCACTGGTTGGGTTGGGTTGGGTTGGGTTGGGTTGGGTTGGGTTGGGTTGGATTGGATGGGATGGAGAAGAGGGAATGGTAGGGAACCCTGTCTTTCAAAACAATATCTTAACAAGCACCCAAAGCTGACCAGCAAAGTACTGGTCAATTTGGAACTTTTGTGGGCAGGGCCAGATTAAGACACGCTGCGGCCCTGTATCAAATTTAAAAGGCTCTATAGCATTACCAAAAAGAAATGTGTTTTATTATTTTATTTTTAACCAATTATGTACAACTTCAAATGTAGATTTTTTGTTTTGTTTTTTGTTTTGGTATTTAGAGGCCACATATCTGAGACCCTGAACTGTAATTTACTTTGCTTGTGTGTAAACCTGGCACTGTCTCTTGGGGCCGCCCCCTGTGGTACAGCTGTCCAGCACATACCCTCAGGGATTGGTTCAGGTGGTCCCATGAACCATATGGGCATATCTGTGGAAAAGATCCTGTGGGCATCACCTGGTGGCAGAGATTAATTTTGGGAAGTGAGGTTGCAGGCCACCAACCTGTCCAAAAGACAGATGGACCTTCTGAACTGGAAGCCACCCTGTTCACTCATTTTGCTTGCACACTTGCTGGGGTAACCTGGCAGTGAGGTGAGTGTACTCTGACCATGCTCAGAGGGCCACACTCACCATCTGCATGCAGTGGTGGTGAGGTTCAGTCATTATCTACTAAATTCGGTCACCTGTTCACAATTCCACCATTCAGTTTCCTGTACCCCATAGTTGTACTTTCTCAGAGCTCATCCACACTTCCATTTGCCCTGCCACTTTCCCCCAGGAAAACCCACAGTCTAGTGCTGAATTGGAACAAGTGGCCATTGGTGGGGTTTTTCGGCGGATTGCTGTTTGTACTGATTTAGCACTAAAGAGTGGGTTTTATGGGGGGAAGCAGGGGTGGGAGGGAAAACCTGTTCTTAGAAAGAATGGGACAAGCAGAATTGTTTGCAGATCCTCAGTTGAAGCAGCTGAATCTCAGCCCCATCTGCAGTGGGAGGTTTATACAAATACATCTCTCTCTCTCCCCCACCTACCCCACCCAATCTGTGTACATTACAGGTACCAGTGATACTGGCTCGTTCCACCTGGAGTTGTCATCGAGTGGACTCAGTGCTGACATATCCCAGGTGAGCCAGAACTGTGGAACGCAGTGCCTCTTGGTGCAATCTGCTTTGAAAAGCGGAGCATAAACTTCTGGAACAAATAAATTAAAAGAAATCGTTTTGTAGGTAACCTGCTCAGCAGTAGGTCCTACTGAGCTCATTGGGAGATCACTCCCTGGCAAACACATGTAGGGATTGCAGCCTGCAGGGTAATGTCTGGTGCCGTTATTTATTTCCATTTCTGAATGGCTTCCTGCAAAGCATCTCAAAGCCATTTTGCAATATGTTAAAAAGCATAAAATAAAACAGTTGCTTATATATTAACAATTAAAAACAGCGGCATATTCTAAATCCAGTACGGATGACGAATGGGATAAAAAATCTCTGCTTAGAAGCCTTGCTGAAAACTTGTCTCCTAAGCATTGATTTTGAAATTGCTTCTTTCTTCCTTTTTCTCTCCATGTCTCTCTCCCCTATGGCAGGGCCGGGTGGTCTTGGGTGCTGTGGGTGCTGACAACTGGGCAGGGGGCCTGCTAGAACAGCAGAAGGGTTTGGCCAGTGAAAAGTTCATCACAACTCCCTCAGTCAGGAAGGAGATGGAAGGCGCCTACTTGGGTGAGTAGAGAAGGCCTTCCTTTCTCTGGGTCTCTGCACCATCTCCCCCATTAACTGGGCCTTTATTTTCCAGCTCTGTGCACTGAGCACATATGTGTTGTGTGGGGTTTTTTGTTTGTTTATCTGAACAGGGCTGTATATAGTTATCTTTCCTATGGACAGTTATTTTTCCTACATAGAGTTGGCAGCCAACCTGACCTTCCTCCAAGGTAGTCCAGCGGTGGGGGAAAGAGAAGGCCTTCTAACAGTGCCTTCTAAGTGCATTTCTTATTGAAACACACATGAAAGTGAAGGCCACGCCTTCACCTGCCTCCCGGCTGATATCACATGTGATGGAGCAGGGCAGGAGAGCGGGGTTTGGGGGTGTGGTAACTGCCGCACGGGCCAAATTAGGGCTCCTGCCAGGCCTAATTAAGTCTGTGGGGGCCAGAGATTTTCCCTCACTGTTGTAGACAATTGTGGGTTTTGGTATTTATAAAATTATCAATTAAGACCAGAAACGCAAAATGCAGTTACAACAGTGACAGCGTAACTAGCACGCCTGTGCAGTGTTACGCACCACCCAGATCGCAAAGCAGTGAGAGACTCCAGAGGTTACCAGAATTTACCCAGGGTTTGGTCTCCTTGGAATGAAGGTCAGTAGAGACTGTGGTGCCTTTAAGATATATGACTTTATTTACATGTATATACAACTTGAAGGAAGGGTGGAGGGGCTCACAGCATTAACTCTCCCATTGAAATTGCCGCAGACTGACCCCACCTCACCCCAACTCATAATAGTAGATGCCTCGGGCTTTTACCATAAAGGTAAAGGTAAAAGTACCCCTGCCCGTACGGGCCAGTCGTGTCCGACTCTAGGGTTGCGTGCTCATCTCGCTCTAGAGGCCGTGAGCCGGCGCCGTCCGAAGACACTTCCGGGTCACGTGGCCAGCGTGACGAAGCTGCTCTGGTGAGCCAGCACCAGCGCAGCGCACGGAAACGCCGTTTACCTTCCCGCTATAAAGCGGTCCCTATTTATCTACTTGCGCTTAAGAGTGCTTTCGAACTGCTAGGTGGGCAGGAGCTGGGACCGAACAACGGGAGCTCACCCCGCCGCGGGGATTCGAACCGCCGACCATACGATCAGCAAGTCCTAGGCACTGAGGTTTTACCCACAGCGCCACCCACGTCCCTTGAAGTGTGACTAGCCCAAGGTCACCCAGCAGCTGCATGTGGAGGAGCGGAGACGTGAACCCGGTTCACCAGATTACGAGTCCACCGCTCTTAACCACTACACCACACTGGCTCAATCTCAAATTAACGAAAAGCCAAGGGGATCTTGGGCAAATGGAGGAGGAAGGGAGGAAGGAATACATAATTGTTTTGTTGTGAGGAAGTGGGGTGGGTGGGGCAGACTTTGAGCGCCTTTTGGCCTCAGCTGGGGGGGGGAGTGCCTTTTGACAACAGGTTCCTTTTCCTCTGAGGCTCTTGGCCCCCACTCTGATCACAGGGGGCCTAAAGAAGCTCACTTTCTCCCATCTTCCACAAGATTCATGGATCTGATAGGGGAGAAAGCTTCATTGCTTTTTTGCACGTTGAAAGCAAGACTTGACCGTCCAGAGCTGGGGTGGTTAGAGATGCTGGGCTTGCTCTGAACTTAAGTTTCTGAGAGCTCTTAGCTAGTTTCTAGATCTCTGTGTTGCAAAGCACAGGGCAAAGTGTGTGTGTTGTGTAGAAATGCCCCTAGTCTACACCTTCTTTTCTTTTGGTATCTCCACCTGATGGTTCTTTTCTTTTCTTTCTTTTCAGGGTATGCACTGAAATTTCTACAGCATCAACAGAGGGAGCTCTATGCTGCTGGTGCCCCTCGATATCAACATGTGGGAAGAGTCCTCATATTTGAGGTCAACTCCAGCACAACCAATTGGACATTAAAGCAGGACATTCCAGGGCAGCAGGTGAAGAAAACAGGGCTCCTATTGCTGGGAGGGTCCGGACATTCTGGTCAACTTTGATGCCAGGAACGAGGCAAAAGGACGATTATGGCCCCCCAGTAGGACCAAAAGAGTCCCCTCATTTTGCAGAGGTGGTGAGGCTGTATACACACACCCTGCGCCACTTGTGCTTCTACCACTGGTATACCGACATGCGTTAGCCACAATCTTTATCTATCCTGTTGTTTCTTATGAAATAATACATTTCGATGTGTAATTCCCAAAGCAACCTCAGCCTGAATTGAGAAAAAGAACAACTTGGTTAGGTTTTAAGCCAGTAATGTGTTCACAGCCTCAGCGGCAGCGAGAGCCAAAGGGTAGCAGCTGCCACACTAAAGTCTGGGTGGTATTTGCAGGATACCCCATCTTGCAATACACAACGATTGGAAATTGTGTGTGTGTGTGTGTGTGTGTGAGAGAGAGAGAGAGAGAGAGAGAGAGAGAGAGAGAGAGAGGGAGGGGGGTGGGGAGTGGGGGGGGTAAAGAGAATATTTTAGTTCCAATAATATTTTGGTTCCAAGCTGCATAGGGCTTTGTACACCAAATAGCAGCACCTTGTACCTTGTATGTCAGCTAAGTGGCAGCAAGTGCATTTCTGTTGTTGTTGTTATAAAAATTAAATTTATGCTGCCCTTCATCCAAATATCTTAGGGCAGTTCACAGGATAAAAATATAGGATAAATGCACAAAATAAATAGTTTAAACAAAACAAAATAATAACCCCTCCCCCTCCCACGAACACATTTAAAAGCCTGTAGAATATTAATCAGCCAAATGCCTGGTCGAAGAGGAACATCTTAAGGTGTATAATGAAGGTGCCAGACGAACATCCCTGGGGAGAGCATTCTACAAATAGGGAGCCGCTGCAGAAAAGGCCCAGTCTCATGTTTCCACCCTCCGGACCTCTCGTGGAGGACACACACACAGAAGGGCCTCAGGTGATGATCACATGGTCTGGATCAGGTCATATGGGGAGAGCCACCTAGGTCACTAGTTGGCCTTAGGCAAGCAGCGCTCAGGCCCAGGCTCAGGCTCTGAGGCCCCTGACCTGCAATACAGTGGTGCCTCGCAAGACGAAATTAATTCGTTCCGCAAGTTTTTTCTTCTTGTGAGTTTTTCGTCTTGCGAAGCACGGTTTTCCATAGGAATGCATTGAAAATCAATCAATGCGTTCCTATGGAAACCGCCTTCAGACCAGGTCCGGGGACAGTCTGTCCCCCGACCTCTTCTGAAGGCTGGGGGGGGGGACAAGGGCTTTTCTTCCCACCCCCAGCATTTTAAAAAAAAACCGGGACAGCGGGGGACTTCTCCGCTGTCCGGGGCGATTTTAAAATGCTGGCGGGCGGCAGCGAAGCCTTCGCTGCTGCCCGCCAGCATTTTAAAAAAACCCGGGACAGCGGGGGACTTCTCTGCCGCCCGCCAGCATTTTAAAATCGCCCCAGACAGCGGAGAAGTCCTCCGCTATCCCGGGGTTTTTAAAAAACCTCTCCGCCCCCCCGCCAGGCTTCGGAAGGCTGCTCCGAAGCCTGGCGGCGGGAGGAGGTCTCTCCACCCCCCCGCCAGGCTTCGGAGCAGCATTCCGAAGCCGGGCGGACAGACCTCCTCCCGCCGCCAGGCTTCGGAGGAGGTCCGAGGACAGTGGGGAAGACGCGCTGCGCTTCCCCGCTGTCCCGGAGATTTCCCTATGGGCTTTCGTCTTGCGAAGGAAGCCCATAGGGAAATTCGTTTTGCGAAGCGCCTCCAAAACGGAAAACCCTTTCGTCTAGCGGGTTTTCTGTCTTGCGAGGCGTTCGTCTTGCGGGGCACCACTGTATGTGTGTATGTTTGAGGATGGTAATACTGACTTCCCTTACAGGGTTGTTGAAAGGATTGCAGTTAGATAACGCAAATAAAGTGCTTTGAATGGGCTGTATAAATCTTAAGTATTATAAAGCACATCTTGAGGCAACCTTTGTGCAAGGGCCACCCCTTTCACCCTGGCTGTTTAAATATTTCTTTTGCAGATCGGATCATATTTTGGGGCAGCGCTCTGCTCTGTGGACGTAGATGGCGATAAGGAAACAGACCTCCTCCTTGTTGGAGCCCCTCAGTATTTCACAGAGATGAGAGGGGGCCGGGTTTACGTGTACACCTGGAAGCAGGTGAGCAGAGCTGTGTGTGTCCTGTGCACCTGTGCAGGAATCCCGCGTTGTCTCACAGAATCAGTGGTTTTGAAAGACAGCAGCCTTTCAAGGGCACCTCTCTTTCCAGGGTACACTTGTTTGCCAGGGGGAGCTGACTGGGGATCCAGGATACCGCTTGGGCAGGTTTGGAGCTGCCATCACAGACCTGTCAGATATCAGTGGGGATGGACTGATGGATGTGGCCGTTGGAGCCCCCTCGGAAGATGAAGAGAGAGGAGCTGTCTACATCTACTACGGACACGAGAAGACCCTGCAGATGCAGTACAGCCAGGTAACCAAATAGGGCTACAGCACTAACTGGCATGCCCATGTGCCGTGAGGGTGAGAGAACCGCTGCAGGAAATGAAGGAATGTTAGTAATGAAATGCTCCTCTGCCCACCAAGGAGCCTTCCTCCTGCTTTCACTACATGCTCTGAGTCTTGCTCAGAACAGGGACTCACACAGAACCATGGAGGTGGGGTAATTCTTAAAGGTTCACATTCTAAAAATAAACTTTGGGGGGAGGGTGTGTGCGTGCACACACAACAGCACTGTGTGCCCTTGGTTTTAATTGGGAGGGGAAAGAGTGCGGAATCTTGGGAGCCTTAAGAGTTAGGGTGGGGAAGCCTGCGGCACTCAGGATCAGGGTTGGGGAGCCTCTTTGAATTTGTCCACCTGTCGATCACAGTAAGTCATTTGGCATATTGCAATGTCAGGTTGTTGAACTGTCAAACTTCAGCTGTGCAGGGTGTGGGAGGTCCAAGTTCTCCCAGCCCTGCTTTAAAAAGGTAAAGGTACCCCTGCCCGTATGGGCCAGTCTTGACAGACTCTAGGGTTGTGCGCCCATCTCACTCTATAGGCCGGGGGCCAGCGCTGTCCAGAGCGCTGTCTGCACACAGAAACGCCATTTACCTTCCCGCTAGTAAACGGTCCCTATTTATCTACTTGCACCCGGGGGTGCTTTCGAACTGCTAGGTTGGCAGGCGCTGGGACCGAACAACGGGAGCGCACCCCGCCGCGGGGATTCGAACCGCCGACCTTTCGATCGGCAAGCCCTAGGCGCTGAGGCTTTTACCCACAGCGCCACCCGCGTCCCTCTCAGCCCTGCTTTAGCTGATGCCAAAAACTCAAACAAATTAGCACCAGTCATTAAGCTGTAGGAAGAAGCGCAATTTCTTTTGGCTTGTATTTGATCTGTTTGTCCTCCTGAATGGTCACATTGCCTCTTTGCATCATTCTAGCCAGTAGCATTTCTCTCCCACAGAGAATTTCAGGAGCCAGAATTTCTCCTGGCTTGGTCTTCTTTGGACAGTCTATCCATGGAAAGAGGGACCTCAATGGAGATGGCCTCACCGACATTGCAGTGGGAGCTCTGGGGAAGGTTGTGGTGCTTCGGTGAGTGGCTCTGCGAGAACCAAGACTCTTGCGCTCTCCCAGAGGTCAGCTGGGGAGTCTAATAAGTTTGTGGCTAGGGCATCCAATCAGTAATCAGTTCAGCTTTTTCATTTTCTGTCAGAGGCAACCTGTTGCCTTCAACCTAACACCATGTCAGAGCCAGAGAAGCCTGGGATATGTAGTTTGTTAAGGGTTCTGAGATTTGTTAGGAGACTCCTAGTCCCCTCACAAAGCTACAATTATCAGAGTTCCCTCAGAAGAGGAATTGATTGTTAAAACCACTCTGGGAATTGTTGCTCTATGAGGAAAATAGGGCTCTGTCCCCACTGACTTCATTTGCAGTTTATTTACCCCCATCCAGGTAACAGTTTAGGACATGCACCATCTACCCTGATTCAGATGTTGCAGAGCTGGCGGGGGTTCATCATCAGCATGCTGGTGACCCCTTGCTCCAAATCTAATGACTGTCCTCACCTTGGGAGCCCCAAAGCCAGGACATAAACATTTATTTTAAATAAAACAACAACCCAAATTGCCATCTCCGGTTCCTGCAGCTCCAGACCCATCATTACCGTGGTGACAAAGGTGCACTCCTCACCCAAGGAAATCCCACGGGAAGATGTGGAGTGTCTGGGTGATGCCAGCACCTGGAAGAATCTGGTGGTCGACCTCAGCATCTGCTTCAGCACTAGCTTGGCCACCAAGCACTACCAAGGTGAGGGTTACCAGGGAATCGTGGACCTTGCCTTTAGCCTAATCCTGCTGTCCAGGGGAGTATTCATCACCCACATCTGCAGCATAGAGGACTGACCTGGGGGCTGAGGCATAACCTGTTCCCACAGTAGCTCCCTTTCCCCAAAGAGTAGCCCACATATTCCACACTAGCTGTTCTGTCTGAAATTGGTACCTTTTGTTCACCTCTCTCACCTTTTATACAGAATTCAGACAATGGCCTCACCAAGCCATTGCATCCCAGCATTTTCTGTGTTGTCCTCTCATTTTTTCCAGGCCAATTGGTAGTGATTATTGTTCCACTTAAAATTTGTAACTGCAGTACCAGTTTACTTCCCTTGCATGCAAAGACAGGCTCCAGCGGATGGAGAGGATGAGACTAACAGTGGGTCCTGTTGTCAGGAAGGCGGTTTCTGCATGTGCTGTGGAGGGAAGTGAGGGGCAGATGGGACTCATCAACCTGGGAAGGTAGCCCAATTAGGAGAAGGAAAACACTGAGCCTAAGGCTAAGGAGTAAACCCTACACAAATCCAGAGTGGAGTCCCTAAAACAGACAGCACCTTGTATACCTCCTTCTGGCAACTCCTGCTGCCAAGCTGGTGCCAAACATCTTGCTGTGCTTTCCTTTGGACCACATCAGCCAAGAGGGGATCTTGTTGTCTGGGCAGCCCAGGACCTCCATACATACTGCCCAGACTTATGCTCCAGGGAGGTCACTTTGATGCTATTTATGCAATGGACTTCATCCCCGGATGCCCACTCCATTGTCTCTTGAGACAGACAAGTGTCATAAAAAAAAGGACCAGTTTGCTCTGCTGTTTGACTGGCAGAGCACTGCAAGGCCTTTAAGAACTGCTGTGCCTTGATTTCAAAGCATCCTCTTCGCTGCTTGTGCTCTTTTCAGTGCTTTCTGTTTAGTGCAGCAGGAGCATTCTTGATGAATAGCCCCATAACTGGACTTGCAGTTCCTTTCAGCGGGGGTCTTCAATTACTGGTACACTGATTGTTTTTATTTTTGAAATAGCACTATTTCCCTCTGAAAGAAAAATGAAAATAAGAAAAATATGAAGGGGATTGGGGGTGGGGGAACCACACCATTTGCATCAGGAACTGAATTATTACAGAACAATCAAGAGGTCAGTTAATAAGCAATGATGCTACTGTACCAAACAAGAAACAGAAAGAGGCAACAGCGGTAAGGAGGCAGCTACTAATTAACATTGCGGTGGGTTCTTGCTGGACAGGAATTACTTCTGACAAAACAAGGATCTTGGCATAAAATAGCACCCTACCCCATCTCCCCCAATATTTCCTCCATGTGGTATTCATCCTGCTACCCTTCCACTCAAGAGTGTTGGCTGTCTTCTGTCATAAGTGCATCATCCCTTTATATGCATAATCTCTCTCCCGCTTTCCCTCCAGGACCCCTCTCTCCCAAGCTCTCCTTCCGCTTCGAGATCGACCGGAACAGGATGAGGCACCGAGGAGTGTTTAAGAATGGCACGAAAGTCACAGATGGGGTGAAGGAACTCTCTCTGGGAGAAGTGTGCATACAGGAGAGCATTCTCTTCAAGGTAAATGGAGGGTTGCCCTCATTTCCATGAAGCTTCACCTGGGGTGAGATATGGCAGCTGTCTACACAGGTATCTATTGCGTCTTGCTGAAGATGTGGCTGCTTCTGGGGTGGGTGCCCAAGAACCCCTCTTATGAGAGTTCTGGCTTCAATATCTGTAAGGGTGGTGCGTGAAGTTATCTGCCAGCTGCCTCCATTCCCTTTCAGAGCTGCATTGAGGATTACATATCGCCTATCAAGCTCTTTATGAACTTCTCTCTTGGGCGTGACAACAACCCTAGCAATGGACACCCTAGACCTGTTCTGAGCCCCCTAAGTAATGCAGTGACAGTGGAGGTGAGAGGACTCCTGATACTTTGAAAGTAGGATTACAGGGACCATCCAGGTGGCCTTTTTACTCTGCATTCACGATGATTCGTGGTCATGATTGTAATGGGGCGGTTAGATACCATCCTGGTTTGCACCTACAAAAAAAAATGGGATTGGTTTTTCATTTCCAGTCAGCGCATGTCCTGTGGATTCCAGCTGAAATCCTGTAACTTTTTATGCCGCAAATGTTTTCAGGGTGTTGTTGTTGTCATCGTTGTCCTGCTTCTGTTACACTATAGTGCAAGAGTGCCCCTCCAAATGGCAATAATGCAATTCCATTCGGGAAGCATTGCAGAAAACTTAATAAAGTGGAATGGTGTGTAAGAGCTGTTTGACAGTGGGACGGAATCCCTAGGGGAGGTTTTGTGGCCATCCATCATGGATACTTAGATCCAAATTGGGAAAAAGAACAACTTAGGCTGTGTACACATTAGCTGCTTGAAACACGGTGGAGCCATTTCCCCCCACCCACAGTGCTTCAAGTCTCTATTTTTATGCTGCTGTGTACAGCAAACAGGGGAAAGTGATGTCTTCACCTGATGCACATTAGCTGATGGCTTTCCCTATGCCTGCAGCCTCCTGGCTCCAATCCAGTGAAGCTGCCATCTGCGCATGTGTTGTCATTTGCACATGTGCAACAGCTGTCTGAAGTGCTCATGCCCCAGCCTAACCGCTGCTTACAGTTTTCAAATTGGATGGGAGCTGGCTTGAGGGGAACGTGCACCAAACAGCAGTATTTCCCAAGAAGCTACAGGATACAGAGGGATTGTGGCTAATGTCATGGGCACTCAGCTTCAGACATCTGTAGTGAGAGTGCACAGGAGCCAAAGCCAATGGTGGTGTGTGTACACAGCCGTAGCTTCATTTTAAGCTGGCTGCACACAACCAATGACATGTTGGTGATGAAACGAAACAAAAAACCAGTGTGAAAGGACCAATAGACCAGGGGGTGGGGTGGGCAAGTCTTGTCTTGACCCCAGATTCTCAGGGAAGGAAATGGGATTTAATGGGTTTGGGCAAAGGAACTGGGCACATAAAGCAAAATTGAGATTGACGCCTGCAGCATGCAGTGGAGGCTGTCTTTTGGGATGTGCAGAATGAAGTACAAACTCTTCTGCATAAGAACGTGCATGAAAACAGCTTTATCTGTTCCGAGTAGCTAGAGCTAAAGGGGGAGGGGAATGTATGGGATCCCATGGTTTGGAGTGAGCAGGCAAGAGATCTGGGAACGGGGCAGAGCCTAGCTGTTTTCAGCAGGAAGAGGTAGCTTGTTCAGAAGATGTTGCATATTAACTGTTCTAATATTCTTGGCTCACATGTTAGATTCCTTTTGACAAGCACTGCGGGGAAGATCAGGTGTGTCATGCTGACCTGAAACTCTCCTTTCACAATTCAGGGTATGTTGAACAACCTTGATGCTAACAGTCACTGATGCTTTTAGTGTAGGAAAACAAATTAAAAGTGGTAGAGGGAGGACAGGTCTGAATTTTTGCAATAATAAGTCTTAGCATATATGCCAGCATGTTTTAAATGCAGAGAGTTTTAAATTCATATACATTATAACAGCAATCCTTCCAATAGTGGTTCTCCTGTCAGCATTGAGCATTGGCTGTCCTAGCTGGGGACTGGTGGGAATAGGAGTCCAACAACACTTGGAGGGCAACAGATTGGTCACTTCTGCTTTGAAGGATTGTAGATAGGGGCTGAGGTTGAGAGCGTACTGTGCTTGGTATAGCTAAACTACAAAACTGTAATGTCTCTGGGAACCAAAGTATTCCTTGACTGTGTTGCAGGGAGGGAAGCCATTCTGGAGAACACCATTTAAATCTAGAGCAGTGGCCATTTTGAGTTAAACTGTAGCAAGACTTGCACGGTGTTCTGTGAACTTTGCCCCCTGCTTTAGTTTCCAACAATATTATTTTACAAAGCTTACGGCAGTAAATATAAAGCTGACCTTGATTTTATGCTACATTAATACTGTGGCTTCTGCCAAAGAATGCTGGGACTTAATTTGGTGAGGCTGCGAAGAATGGTCTTTCGGAGATCTTTAGGCTTTCCCCCATCATAGTATTACACCTCCCATGATTCCCTGTTTTGAGTCAGCTTTATGTAGGTATGCCCTATGGCAGCCTTCACCAAGCCAGCTTCCTCTCAATGCTTTTGACTGTAACTGTTTAGTGGGCAGCTGGATGGCGACTCTGTTGTGAGTTTTGGGCGGAACTGAGACTCAAAGGCTACACCAGTTTCCTAGCGCATTCAACAGTCCCACCTCCCAGACCCAGGAACCGAGGCCTGCTAATCAGCTTGTCTACCCAACATCCTCTTGATCAGGTCTCAAGAGCTGGTTGTCTTCCCTGGAAGAGACTTGGACATGAGCTTGGAGCTGGAGAACCGCAAAGAGGATGCCTACTCTGTGACCCTCCACGTGCCTCACATACCAGGCCTCTCCTTTCGCAAAGCTTGGGTGGTAGGTACCGGCATTCCCTCTGCAAAAGGGGCACTGGAACTGGATTGGGGCTGGCTTCAGGTTTGAAGGCTTCCTAGAGCCTGGTCTGGTCACACACCCAAACCCTTCCCCCCACATTTTTGGCAGCAGTGATGAAAAGAATGAAACAAGAAGATGCAGTGCTATGGTGGGCACAGATGCTTAAATCGTTCTCTTCCCAGTCCAGGACCTTAATGGAAATGCACTTAGCTCCCTCCCAAGGGGAGTCCTCAACTTTTCACACCAAGCGAGCTGCAAGAGAACTTCAAAATGGAACCCATAGGCCACACACTGCCTTGTTGCACATGCGGGGAGAGGAGCAAAGCCAAAAATTGACACACACACACACACACACCCCGCCTTTGCGCTGCCTTCCCAAAGCCACCTAACCAAGGCGCCAGGCTTTGGGAAGGAGGTGTGAGGCTCTGGCAGGTTCTTAGAGCCCTCCCAACTCCTTCCAAAGATGACAAAGCACTAACTAGGCTTTGGGAAGGGGGCCGGACCCTTACCCTTGCTTACCCGCTTTGGGAAGGCAGTGCAAGGGCTTGGGGGTTTCAAATGTTGCAGAGAGCCACCCAAAAAGGCCTTGAGGGCCACAGACTAAAAGAGCCTGCCCCACTGGAGGCAAAGAGTCCTCTGGTGTCCCCCCGCTTGGACTTCACAGGCAGCAGTACTCTGAGCTCTGCTACAAGCAGCACCTGGTGGCTAAGGCTAGCTTTGACTTATCACAAGCCCCTGGAATGACACTATGTTGAGAAATTAACATGATACTGGGCTCAGCATGCTGGGCCATTTTTTCAACAACAACAACAAAAGGGATGCTAACTAGGCCAGGTGTTAGCAACACAAGGCTGCCAGGTGTTGACATCAACCCTGAACTTGCTCCACCCTTTCTCTTTTCGCAGTCCAACACTCTGCTTGTCATGAGCTGCGATGGACTACTGGATAGCCAGCACCTCAAAGGTCTCTCTTGCAACATCAGCCATCCTGTCTTCAAGAGCAATACTAAGGTGAGCATGTGGTGACACTGGCAGCTGGCACTCCTTCCCTGATCAGCCATGAAACTCCCTGGGCGACCTTGGGCTCTCAGCCTAACCGACCTCAAAGGGTGGTGGAAAGAGGAAAGAGGGTTAACATACGCTCTCTGGATAGCTTTTTCAGTAAAGAATGAAGTTTAGGAACAATCAATTGGCTTAACAAATAATTAAGCAATAACTAGAGAAATTACAACGAGAAGTTTTTTGTTTGCTTAATAAAAAGCGAGAAAAAGATATCGTTGGTAGTTTATTGTCAGTTTTAAGAAGTGTAATTAGTTTTCTGTTGTGCCTTGAAGGATATATATGTGACTTTTTAGAAACTTGAATCATTTTGGCATGTGTGGGGATGGGGGCTGAGGATAAGAAGCAGAAGCACGGTGAGTTTAGGGGGATCCTGCCAGGACAGCAGGAGGAAAGGGGGAGACTTTGAGAGCAGGAGATGCTGGCTGCAGCAGATGCCCCGTGTGTGAGTGCTTCAGGGAGATCATTTGCAACAAACGTAGGGAAGGGGAAAGCTGAGAAGGCACAGGCAGTGGCTTCCGATCAGAAAGGAAGCACATTTTTTATCTTCCTTTCTTCACAATTTTTGCAGTTTTCTCTTTCACGGCTGCATTTTGTCAACAAACTGCCTCTTTAAGACATCCACCAGCATAGGATTGAAAAGAAAAGAAAGCTGTTGATTCTTGCTAGAGTTTTCATTTCAAAATGCCATGAGGATCCTTTGTTCTGCATGAGGGGGACGAAAGGGGATGGGGTCAGCACTCTAGAGGGGGAGGGGCAGGCAGGCAGGCAGGCAGGCAGGCAGGCAGCAAGTGCCATGAATTGTCTCACTTTTGATCTCCTCCCTCCTCCATTGCAGGCTTTAATTCAGCTCAGGTTTAGCATCCTCAGCAACAGCTCCTGGGGAGATTACTTGGAGATGAAGGCAAATGTCACAAGGTAGGTGTATCCTCCCTTCTACTTTTTAATAGATGTGTAGAAGAAGGGATTTCAGCAGGGGGAGCATGTCATGCAAAATACCTCTGCTGCTTTCTCCTCTGCTACCTAACTGTTAAAAGCGTAGGTGCCCTGTCCGCTCACTTTTTTCTCAGAGTAGACCCACTGAAATTAATGCACCTAAGTTATTCATACTTGAACGCAACCCATGAATGAATAGTTATTCGCAAGTTTTTGTTACAGAATTTCCTGCCTGAGTATGGGTGCAGAGGCCAGGGCCATTTCTGGGGTGGCAGGTGAAGGGATACTTTGCATTTTCTTGACGTCTGTCTCTGTCTTGTAGCGACAACAACGTGAATGAGACTCTTGACACCGGGGCCAGTCACACCATCCCGGTCCTGTACCCCATCAACATCATTGTCAAGGAGTAAGAGACAAGTAGTTGTTTTCCCTTCTCATCTGACTGCTCAGGCTGAGGGTAGAGCTTGAGAATTGTAACCAGGGCTGGGGGTATGCTGTGATTCCATGTCAGTGATGGGCAAGCCTAGAATTTGGTACTGGGTGCAGAATCCAGCATCCTGAACATTCCAGCTTTGTGTGCGGGGTGTGTCTGTGTTTCTATATGGGAGGGGGGAAATCCCTCCACATAGAAAACTGTGCTTTGTAGAAGGCTTGGCCTTCTTCCTCCCTGACATCATAAGCTTTTTTATGTGGGGGGATTTGGTGGTGCTGGCCCAGGCACTTAAGTATTACATCCTTTGCTGCCTCTGTGAATGCAAGGTCTAATAGGTAAAGTACACAATACACAAGGAATCTATGAATAGAACTGGCAATTTTAAATGAAGCTGCAGGAGACTCCCAAGATTTTTCAGATGAGTATGTACGTGTTTAGAGGAAAGAGTTATTTTAGCTCTTTTCTCCCACACCATCTTCCCAATCAAAATAATTTCATCTACTCCCTCAGTTTGTTTATTTCTCCATATTTAAGTTCCCCCACCGCTTCCAGGGCTGCTCACACAGCTGTGATTAACGTCACAAAAATATGCACATTAAACTGCATTCGCACCGTGTCTGGCCACTACGACAGCTGAAGATAAAACATCTCTTCTTGGTAACAAGAAGATCAGGCTCCTTTTCTGCCCCCTAGCTAGTATCTGGACTGAGACTTTTGTGGGGGCAGCAATGTGGGCACAGAGGGGTTGTGGTAACAATGAGAAACACCCGGTGGTGCATTGCTGAGTTCGCTGCCACCATTGTAGGGTCACTGGCTGCAGCAATTGTGCTCCTTGGGGTTGGGCTCCCTGCCTCCGTTCTTCACCTCCCTCATCTCTACTTTTTCTCCCATGCAGGTCAGAAACATCCAGCCACTATGTGAACTTCACTTCCCAACGTCAAGAAAATAAGACGGTGACACACTCGTATGAAGTGAGTGAGAGACTACTAATTACACAAAAAAGAGTTCACAAAAGCTCATGCCATAATACATTTGTGAGTGGGTACACACAATACACTTAAAGCATGTGGCTTCCCCAAAGAATTCTGGGAACTGTGGTTTACCCCTCACTGAGCTACAGTTCTCAGCACTCTTAATGAACTGCAGTTCATGGGATTCTTTGCACCGAAGCCATGTGCTTTAAATGTACAATGTACAGACAGATGTCATTTTTGCTGCAAGACTAACTTGGCTTTTTGGCCCTCACCTGGGAAGCCCTGCTGGGACCTAGAGGGTCTCTGGAACACAGGAGCATGAGATTCTGCCTTTTACTGAATCAGACCACTGGCCCATCTTACTTGATATTGTCTGCACTGACTGGCAGCAGCTCTCCAGGGTTTCAGGCAGCGTTCAGTCTCAGCGCCACACAGAGATGCTGGTGATTAGGCCTGCCTGCAAGGAAGATGCTCTACCACTGAGCTACGTATGATGCTTCCCTAAACTGAATCTGCTAATTGAAGTAGACGGTGCTGATCTAGAGGGTCCCTTAGTCTGACTTGGATAGAAGGAGCTGCCTTATACTGCATTCACCACTGCTCCCTTCTGCATCCTTATTGCCAGCAATCACCACCCCAGCTCACTGGGCCTGGATAGCTCAATTGGTCAGAACAGGTGCTGATAATGCCAAGGTTGCAGGTGTGATCCCTATGTGGGACAGCTGCATATTCCTAAATTGCAGGGGTTTGGACTAGAACAGTGGCTCCCAATTAGCTAAGTACTGTGGGACCCCCTACTTTTGAAATTTTTGATATCTCTATGGTGGTTTTTGTTAATGTGAATGGTACGAGGGACCCCACCAATTGGGAACCACTGGGCTAGAGGATCCTCAGGGTCCCTTCCAACTCTGCAATTCAATGATCCAGGATTCCCTGAAGTTTAATTTGTTGAGTCTCCTTGCCTTAGTCACTCTCTCCTTTTTCCCTCTCCCCTTCCCGCAGCTAACAAACCGGCCCTTGGGTACTTTCGCACCTCCTGCACTGTCAGTGATCGTGAAGGTGCCGACCGCCTTACCTGCCGGGCTGACCTGGCAGGTGGATAACATCCGAACAGTAAGTATGATATAAAACAACAGGGCAAGGGCAGCTAGCAGGTGTAAAAGGTGGAAGCTCAGCACCCCCTAGTGCTAGCTTTTGGGTGGCTAAGCAGTGGGTGGGGGTCGCCCACATAATTCAGCATTGGGGAAGTGAAGGATGATCAAGCAATGCATTGAAAAGACGAGTCCAGTAACTTTAAACTTCCATATTTTTTTCCGGTGGTAACAAACACAGATTTTTCTCCAATTCCTAGGTACCCCCTGCAGTGTGCCAACCCATGGAAACGGAGAGTAGCACAAAGGTCCAAGTCAAGTTGACTGAGGTAGATTGTCTCCGCACAAACTAAGGATTATGTCTCAAAGCCTGCGGCAATGGGGGGGGGGATTCAGTTCAGTTCACATTTAAAGGAAAACTTGCCTAAATTGCACTTCCAAAACAATAAGCAAACTGAAACACGGCCAATTGCACTTCTCCAAATTTTGCCATGCAGTTTTCTGACCCAGTGATGTGTACAAAAATGCACACACTGGGGTAAAGTGTGTATAGGAATGCATATATTTTAGTGACAACTTATAAAAATGCTTTATATTAGGAATCATTGTTTTGCAAGAAATTCTGCATGGAATTGCATATTAGGAGAATAATGTGGTACTGTTCACTACTGTAGCTACTCCTGAAAACTAAGGTTTCTTAAGTGTGGATGGGCACTTTTAAAATCTCTCCTCTGCTTTCTTCCTAGCAATGTGCAACTGGCACTTATCTCACCTACAAGTGTGATCTAGGACAGATCAATTCCTCCATAATCCATATTACTGGGTTGATGTATACCCAAAGCAAAATTGAGGTAAAGGCTTGGAATGGTCCGTAAAGGGTTACTTGCAGCAAATGTCAACTCCTGTCCACATTGGGACCTGGGGCATGGGTTTTTAGAGGTGGAAGGTAAGAGAATGGGATTCTTTCCTTGTATAGTGAGTCCCTCATTCCAGTTTATTCAAAGTACTAATTGACGCTGGGGTGGGGGCAATGCAGTCAACACAGCGATGATAAAGGAAAGACATAATAAGCCCATTAGGAGAATTATTATTATTATTATTATTATTATTATTATTATTATTATTTGCACTGCTACAGGGTGCTTTTGAGTTTTAAGAATTCTCTAGTTTTTCAAGCTCTTGTAGGGGTGCTTCTGCTCTGAAATGTATTGAGCTACAGTAAGTTTTGCACCAGTGAGCACCGGAGCTGGTTCTCCTTTTTGTCTTCTGCAGTGTGTACCAGCAACTCGTCAATTAAAGGTGTAGGAGCTCTGTCCTCTTTTTACATCTAGCCACTCTAAGCTCAGAATTGACATCAGTGATTAGCAACCACCCTCCAGGGGTTTGGATAGAGGTATTTTCTCAGCCCTCTCTAGAGATGAAGGGTCTTGAACATGGGACTGCCTGCATGCAGACTATGTGCTCAGTCACTGAGCTCCACCAGCCCCTCTGTACTTTTGTTTTCAATTAAATTTAACATCATGCAAATGGCATGACATCCCTTCCTTCCAGGCAGACATGTTGCATTCCTGCTGTGGTGTCCTTATTATAGATTCATTGTTACCATGGCACATGTGGAAATCTTTTGAGTGGCCTCCTTATACCTCCCAAGTCACTCCCTAAGATAATATGACTTCAATTTAGTTGGTGCAGCAATAAGTGCTTGAAAATATTATTCATTCTTTGGGATTTTCTGCATGTGAATGATCCTGCCCAGTATGGTCTAAAACGAATTGTCCGTTTCTCTTACCTTGCAGAAGACATCTCAGTTCAAGTTTTGCACAGCCTTGTGGTTTACGTTTGATACTACAAGATACACAAATTTCTACCCGACTGAATTTGCCCAATTTCAGGTAGTGCATGCTGCAGGAATTGCTTCTTTTCCTCCCTTTCTGCAGATTTACCAGTATTGCTTGCAGGATTTCATAGCATTACTTCTAACATAATCTCCTCCGTCCAAGTGATTTCCTTACAGAACTGTTTACAAGATTGCTCCCTTACCCTATATTATTTCATAATTAAAAGCCTTTTTGTCCTCTGGAAGTACATTATAGGCACTTTCAGACAGGCTGCTTATTCACAAAAATTTGATCATTAACCCACACTTTCTAGTGTAATTATCTTGTCACTTTTCTAAATTGCACTGGAAAGTGTGAGCTACCAACCCAATGCTGGCTATACTGTATCACCTCTCTGCAAGCATACCAGGAGGAATGTCTAGAAGCTCCCAAAATATGACTATAAAAGGTAGATTTTTCTTACTGCATATGTTTCTGAGAACAATATTTAACCCACTTATCATTTTTTTAATTAATCAAACTGGAGAGGATCCCCATAAATTAGAACAGTCAAATTTGTTCAGTCACCTTAAGTGTATATTCTATCCTTTTTCTTTTAACCAATCCTTAAGTCAATCCAATTTTGAGAAGAAAATGCTTTCTAGAGTGTTGAAGCATCTGTGCATCTTGAGCTGTATAGCTTCCTTTCTATTATATTCATTGTGTTATTAAAGCTACCTCTTTCCCTGCCTAAATCTTCTTTAGCTACGGTGTATGATACCCTTTCGAAAAGATTGCAGGTGTGCAATGATCACTAGCTAGCTTCACAGATACAGCTTCATGTCGCCTTTGCTGTATCAGGGCATCTTGCTTTAGTTGCCTTTGTTCTTAACCTTGACTGTGTAATAGCTGGACTTCTATTTTAGAAGCAGCAAACGTTATCTGGTATATTCTGGGCAAGAGAGAGGCCTTTGCCGGAGAAAATACAGGACTGGCCTGGCATGCCAGTCTTGAGTGAAGACCTTTCCCCTGCTGATTTGGCTCCTTCAGAACTAGGCGACCGGTCATGATCTGTGTGTTTTCTCTCTCTTTCTCTCCCTGCTCCCCAGGTTGCTGAGGTGGAGATGATTCATGTGATGAACTATCTCCCTGTTATAATAGGCAGTGCTGTCGGAGGCTTGTTCTTGCTAATTCTCATCATTGTCTCACTTTACAAGGTAAGACTCGATGTACATCGGGAATCCTGGGTTAGGAGTAGCTGAGAGCTCAGGTCATTTTTTAGGCAATTTAGCAGCAACGGTTTTATCAGTAGTTTAAATCTGCTTCTTCTGAGATCCACATGTTCATCTTGAAGTCACAGCAAAGCTGTCTTCTATTATGTCAGACTGCTGGTCCGTTTTTAGCTAAATGCTGCCTATGTTGGCTGGCAGTGACCCCCCGCCACCCCAGGACATTTTCTCTGTGCTGCCTGGAGATGGAAGAGGCATTCTGTATGTAAAGCATGTGCTCTACCGCTGAGCAAGGGTTCTATCAAAACTTGGATAGTTATCCTCAGCATGGGGGGCGGGGGCGGGAAATCAGATTCTGCATTTATACCATTCTTATACCAAGTTAGATTCCTGTAGGATTTGATAAGTTACGCAGAATTCTAGTGCCATTGTAGTGGAAATGCAGAAGACAATTGTATTTTGAGGAGTTAGGCGGCATGTCCCTTTCCCTTTAACATCCCCAGTTTGAAGTCTGCCAGATTCTTGTGTTTCACACACCTGTCGGGAGTTTCTTGGGTTCTTCTGTGTTGCAAGTGCTGGCTGGATGCCCAGCTGCAGGTAGTGGGAGACTCTCAGCTGCTCTGTATTAATCCCATCTCAGGGTCCTGGGCTAATCATGAGTAATGTCAGGTGCACTTGATTACATCAAGGCAGGCTATAAAAGCCATAGGTGGGAGGGGCCCGGGGAGCTTCTACCCAGATCAAAGGACTTGATGCTGGGAGACCTAAGTTCAGGGTCTTTCTCCTGCTGCTCTACTTGGGGCTCCGGGCAGCTGAAGGGGAGATTGGGTAGCCCCTGTCGGGTATGTTTTATGTTATGCTTTGTATGCCTGCTGTTTATTTGTTAATAAAACTGTTTGGGTTCCCCTTCCACCTCCTCATTCCTTTTGTCCTGATATCCTTGGAAAGAACTGCTGTATTTGGCAGCACAGCCATTTTGCTGGTGGTCCTAGAATATCATGCATTAAGTCCTGGCCATCTCCAATCATGGGGATAGTGGTCCAGGGAGCGGCTCAGAGCTCACCAACAACTCTGTGGTTCAGTTTTTAAAAGTGTTATCAATCTATTCAGGTGTTTTATAAAGAAAATATAATGTTTTGGAAACAGTTTTATTAGGTAGACGAGCACACATTTTCTAACTAATGTATGTGTTATATGTGCCTGCTTTGTTTGTCTTTAGACTTCTTATCACAAGACTTCTTACGGGAAAGGAAGGATAAAAAATCCATGGATATTTTCACAGTGAGCTTTGGCAGCTCAATTCTAAATAAATAAATCCTGTGGCAGAATAAACTTAACTTTATGCCTCCTGGGGCTTGAGTAAATAAATTGGCATAATACATTTTGATATCATGGTTTGGGCTTTTCTGCTTCCAGAACATAGATTCCATACCTATTCAGCCTGAAGAGACTGTATTGGATCATGGCTGTTGAACAACCACCTCCTTTTTAAAATGATCATCCATGTGGCCCAGCCAAAGTTAAGCCATTTTTATGCTTCATAGATATGAATGGCAGAGAATGCTTAACTGATCCTTCCAGTCAGTTAAACGTAACATGAGCTAGATTGTGCTGTCATTGCCACATCTCATTTGTAAGTGTACTAAGTACTTTACAACAACCCTGTGGGACATACTAGGTCATTTTAAACGCTTGGAATGTGGAACAAGCTTCAATCACATGACCAGGCTAACCTCACATAAGAAAATCCATGCAGGAGAGAGAAACCATAAAAAGCAATTCTAGAGTGAGAGACTAGGCTGATGTCCGCTGTTTCCAGGAACTCTTCTGAATGTGAGACTTTTGTGGGTGAGCTGTGAGTTTGTTCGGATCCTGAGCAAGAACACGGAGGCTGAGAGGGTGTCAGAAGGAAAACGATACTGATTTTTATATATTAGTGACTTTGTACAGTATTAATGTAACATTTTTATATGTAACTGGGTGTTTTTGTAATATTTTGTTTAAGTTGTCTGTTATTGCTTAAATTTTCTGTGCACCGGTTAGAGAGGTTTTAAATAATAATAATAATAATAATAATAATAATAATAATAATAATAATTAATAATAAATACATATATTTAACAGGGTTAGGGCCTGGACGAAAATGAATCATATCAATGGCAAAAAAAACCCCACCCCCCATTTTTAAAATTATTTGCTCATTCAAGATACCTGCTAAGAAGAAACTGGGAAAAATAGAGGGATAAAGGTTGATATTTAGAAAGATGGTAGATTTTGGGGTGTTCCCCCCCCCAAAGTTGAAGACCACTGGGATGGCCATCACAAAAACTTTACATTGGGCTTTGAAGTTAGGTCTCCCATATCCAGATCAAGCATCTTACTCAAGCTACTGCTAACAGTTTCCCCCTCCCTTTTGTTTATAGTGTGGATTCTTCAAACGTAATTATAAAGAGATGATGGACCTTCAAGAAAATAATAATGCAGTAGATTTAGAAGACAATCCGGGAGGTGATGCAGAGAAAGAAGCCAAATCAGACAGCAGTGAAGGGGGCGACAGTGAAAAAGAAGCCAAAGAAAAAACAGACCTGTTGAATGGAGAAGCTGATACCAAATGAATAGATCATTCTCATCCCCACAAATTGCAGTCAAATGTACATGTCTAAATGTACAGGGAAGGAAAGAGTGACTTGTCTGTTGCCAACAAGAACTTATACTCACCTTCTTAAAATTTGCATATGTGTTTTTTGGGTGTGTTGGCATCCATGACAATGGAGTTCACCACCAGGGGATGAAGTCAAACTGTTTGCAAAGGTCCTGTTTTGGGAAATAGAGCTGTGTCTCCTTGGAATGATACTCGTCATCATCTGTATGCATTGGGGCTTCTGATCACAGGTGTATATGATGAAGTGGACAGAGAAAAGGAGTTGAAAGCAGGAATTGCATTATTGTACTTCCCTAATGCCCCTTAATGAAATGGGACAGACACTGGCCTTTTCCAGACTTTTAGAGACTCTATGAAGTGGCAATTACAAATCAACTTAGTTTTTCTTCCGTTTTTAGATGTAATGTATACCTATGCTTGTTTACTCAGAAGTAAATCCCACTGTGTTTCGTGGCTCTTATTCCCAAGTAAGTATACACAGGATTGCAGCCAAAGGTTTTAAGAAGTCCAGTAAGTCAGAATAAATGATGGATTGTTTATGTGGCACCTAATTCCTTCAACCTCTGTGATACTCTAGGTTTGCCAACAGGTTACTTTTGTACTCACATTACCAATTTTGACAAATTGTGTTTAAATGAAAACTATTAGTCATTTATCTTCCTCCCTTTTCCTCCTTAAGTTATTCACCACATCTTCCTATATTGCAAGATACAACCCAAAGGGCCTTTTAAAAAACCTTAACAACTTTTAACAATGTAATCATGTCTGCCACAGTGTAACTATTTTTAGAAGATCTATACAGCAAAAGGCAGTGTGGAAAGATGAAATTCAACTACCGGTAAGTTAGTTAGGCAGCTTTAAAGTAAATGGGCTGGAATACAAAGCTGTCAGAGATCCTCTTTTTAAAAAATATTTTTATTAAACATTTTCTTGGTTTACAAAAGTACATGCCTTGTTTCTTTTTTCAGGTTGTACAGTCTTTCTTACAAATCAGTTACATTTGTTGTGAGGCATTAGTGTTGAGTACAGTACAATGTTGGGGAGGAAGAGGGGGGAGAGGAGGGGTGGGGTGGTAAGGCTTATATTCTTTTGTATAGTGTATATGTGGGTTTTCGTGTCAGCGCCAACTAGGTAGGTTCTCTTTCTATTCGTTTCATACATTTCCTTGGTAGTGAGAGGTATTGGTTGGTTGGTTGTCAGTGGTTGGCTGCAGTGGGGTTTGTTTGCATTTGTGGGGAATGAGGGCTTGTTGGGTCAGGTAAGCCAGATTGATTTGTATGCTGTCAGTGGATTCTTGTTGTTGTCTTGTTGGTGAAAAAGGGGAGCCATGCTGAGGTGAAGGCGTCCTCTTCTATTTGTCCTCGTGTCAGCTTCAGTTTACTGGTTAGCTTTTATATTAAGGCCGTTTCCCATACATTTTGATACCATTGGTCCATGTTTACTCCTGACAGGTCTCTCCAGTGTCTGGCTATGAGGTTTCTGGTTGCTGAGAGTAGGTGGGTTATAAGCTCTGTATAATGTGAGTGGTCGTTATGATCTAGAAAGATGTTCAGTAGGGCCAGTTCTGGGGTGAGTTCTTATACCTGTTTAGTTATTTTGCATATCTCTTGTAGGACTGAGGGTTGGATTTTAGGGCATTCCCACCACATGTGGAGGTATGTGCCTGTGGAGGTGCAACCTTTCCAACCTCTTGGTGAGGTTCCTCAGCACCAGTTTCCATGGTGTTAAGTGCCACCTGTGGGTGAGTTTCAGTGTCAAGGGGGTTTGTGAGATTCTGGAGCAGTATTTTGTATACTGTGGATACCATCCCTTTGCCGTGTCCCTCTGCTGTCAGGAGATTTTCGAAGGTAGTCAAGGGCCTAGTGGCTGCTGATTTTACTGCTGGATTGTGTGGTATTTGTGTGTTCCCTAGTATTTCTTGTGTTGGTATGGGTTTGTTGTTTTTGAATAAGTCTTTTAGACAGTGTAGGCCTTTGGCTTGCCAGGTTTTTATCTGGAGGTTTTGTGCTGCGTGTTGGAATAGTGGGATATAGGCCAGGGGGGTTGGTTGGGATTGGGGATAGTATGCCTCCTTTTCCCTTCCATGCCTTAAGCATGGATTGTGTGAACCTGTTCAGTGTTGTGGGGATTTTCTTTAGTTTGTTTTGGAGAAATGGGTATGCTGTTGTGGGGATGTTTTCGATTGTGTCTCTCTCCAAGTGGACCCATTGTTTCGTCTCGTCTTCTAGAATATATGTGGCATACTTGGTTGGCGATGTAATATGATTCTATGTTGGGGAGTCCCCATCCTCCTTCTGAGGAGGGGAGGTGCAGGTGTTTGGGGCTTATTCTTGACTTTTTGTGTGAGAAAATAAAGGAGTGTAGTTTTTTCTGCGACTTCGGCAGTCCCAGGGAGCAGCCTTCAATGGTTCAGGCCTCCTGCATAGATGCCATTACATCCAAAGATGATGATAATAATAATAATAAAAATAAAAAAATAAAATACTAAAAAAATAAGAAGAAGAAGAGGAGTTTGGATTTGATATCCCGCCTTTCACTCCCTTTAAGGAGTCTCAAAGCGGCTAACATTCTCCTTTGCCTTCCTCCCCCACAACAAACACTCTGTGAGGTGAGTGGGGCTGAGAGACTTCAAAGAAGTGTGACTGGCCCAAGGTCACCCAGCAGCTGCATGTGGAGGAGCGGGGAAGCGAACCCGGTTCACCAGATTACGAGACTACCGCTCTTAACCACTACACCATACTGGCTGCAACAAACAACAACTTTCCAGAAGGGGATGTCCTGTGCTGCGTTTGTTTTTCCCTGGGGTGGTCTCTGGCACATGGTTTCACACACACACACACACCCCGGGTCCCAACCTACTCTTTTCACGCTAGCTGCCGGGGAGGTAGGCTCAGAGTCAGACCTAGGCTAGGCCGCATTATTTCTCATGGCCTCCCTGGCCCTCCCAGTACCCTCCTGTCTCTCTCCCTTGGTGGCAGTGGCAGTGGTAAGCTGGTGCTTTGCTGGGTGGGGGTCCTTTTTGCTTTCTGTTCGGCTCCAGAGACCTCCAGGCCTAGGAGCTTCGTTGGGCTGTCGATGGGGTGCTCCTGGTCCCAGCAGGGTCAAGGCCGATGGGGGCTCTGTGCAACCTTTCTGCTTGTCACGTTGGGCACCCCTAGTTTCCCCCCTCCGATCGCGACGGTGGCGGTGGTGTGGGGACCAGTCAGGCAGTGCAGTTGGTGCTGGCAGTTCTCACGAGCACCATGCGGCTGTGGCTCTTGCCATCTTGTCTTGCCAGAAGTCAGCGATCATTTTAATGACAGTAAAAGGGAATTAATTCTTGGAGGTACCCCTTGTGTACATTTTCTCTTGGAAGGGCTAAGTCCCATACCATATCCCAAACTGCTAAGGAAACTCCCATCCGTTTCAAATGGTTTGCTATGTGGCTGTTTGAGAAACACAAATTCAAACCACCTTTAGGTATGCAGAATAACTCCTTCTGCTCTCTGGATCAAGGCCAGCAAGTTTTGATCAGCTCAGCTGTCTAGATTTAATTGGCAATTGTAAGTGTAAATGCATTCTGCTTCCAAAGAATAAACACAGATCAGAGTATCCAAAATGCATAAGTTATATAAAATCAATTGTCTTGAAATGGATTTGAAAAAATGTTTAGCCTGATTATTAGCCCTGGCATCAAAGTTAAAAAAATTCAGGGTACTTGAGTGGGAATTAAAAAGAGCATTTATTAGTTCATAAGAGGGAGACATGGATAATAGCAGAAATCAAAACATTACAAAAATAACTTCAGTTAGGAAGGGTAAAGGGTCTGGAGCATGCAATAATAGTTTAAAAAGCTGTTCTAGTTAAATACTGGAGTCTTGCGTATGTTCCCAGATTTGCCTGGGCTCCTAAATAATACCAGTGAAAATAAAACAACAAAGTTAATGGGGGTTTTTTTGTTGCTCACACAGTACCTTTTTAAGCCAATGATTTCAAAGCTTCCAGACTGAGGTGAGGTGTCCTTCCTACCAAACTGATTCAAGGAGTGTAGCAAGAATTGCTTACAGCAGTAAGGAAAGGCACAGTCACCCACCTCTTTATGAAAAGGCACCTACCTCGGGTAGCTTTATGGGTTTTTAACATTACATAGTTCACTTTGAGAAGTGTGGCACACCATGTACAGATGTAGGGTAAGATTTAAAAGCTGATTGAATAAAATCACCCGATTTGGAATTAATTTGACCAGCAAATGGCACAAGACTTGGGACAACACAGGGAGCTGGATCATCATACAGCTTGACCATGAGGCAGCCATGTGGAGATATCTAGTACAGGCATGCAGGTACTGAGGGTGAGGAATATTTTTCAAGTGGAGAGCAGCCCAAGCAGAATCTCCCACACAACACAAACACGGCCATATTTGCTGCAGGTGAACAAGACCACTTTGCACCAATGGATAGTCCTGCCATTTCTGTCCACGACATTTTGATGGCTTGCTGGTTGGGCTATAGAATGAGTTCCCCAAGCATCCCACTCCCATTCTTTTGTCCGCTGCATCCCAACCAATCACTTTAATACCACAATCTCCTCATTTTCATCCTGGCAACTCTGTCTTCCAATCTCCCCACCTTCCCCCTCCAAGCTATCCTCCCCTTCTCCCAGCCAGCTTTGCCTCTCGCTACCGTCCTCACTGCCGTGCCACTCCTGTCCCTCGCTGCTGTGCTTCTGCCTGAAGTTCTCACCTACGGCATTCTCCCACTCCTCCCTTAGGCTCTCCTCTCTGTCATCCTGCCAGTCTGGCTCCACAATCTCATCCAGACACTTCCCCCTCAGTTTTTGACCCTCATGGTCTTGGAAATCCTCCTCCTCGCTTTCATCATCCTGACATTCCAGCCTCATGCTCTCGTCCCCATCATCCTGCAACCCGACCTCCACCCTCTCGTCGGCCTCGTCGTCGGGGTCGTCCTGGCATTCTAGCCTCATGCTTTCGGTGCAGTCATCCTGCGAGCCCGGCTCCACACACTCGTCCTCGTCATCCTGCCACTCTGTCCTCTCTGTTTCATCATCCACACCATCCTTCCACTCCTGCCTCATGCTCTCTCTGCCGTCTTCCTGCAACCGCTGCACCACGCTCTCGTCTGCGTCGTCCTGCCACTCCACCCGCATCGTCTCATCCCCGTCGTCCTCCCATTCCCGCCTCATGCTCTCGTCCCCTTCGCTCTGCCACTCCTGCTCCATAATCCCTATCCCGTTGCCTTGCCACAGGCTGTCCACTCCTCCTTCCACCCCCTGGTCCCCAACACCTTCCATCCCAGCAGCATCCCAGCCCTCCACCAAAGCCAACGTCTCTCCTCTCCTCACGTGGGCTCGCCGGTGCTGGGAGAGTGCCGACTTCTGTCCAAAGCCTCTCCCGCAGTATGGGCAGCGGAAGGGCTTTTCGCCAGTGTGGGTGGCTTGGTGCTGAAGGAGAGCGGAGCTGCGCACGAAGCCTTTCCCACAATTGGCGCACGAGTAGGGCTTTTGACCAGCATGGATACGCTGGTGTATGTGATAGGTGGAGCTGACGCTGAAGCTCTTCCCACACTGGCTGCAGCAGTAGGGCCGTTCGCCCGTGTGCGTGCGTTGGTGCTGCAGGAGTGCTGAGCTTACGCCGAAACCTTTCCCGCACTCATCGCATTTGAAGGGTTTCTGGCCTCGGTGCACCCGCTGGTGCTGCTGCAGGTTGGAGCTCTGGTTGAACCCTTTCCCACAGTCTGGGCAGCGAAAGGGCCGTTCGCTCATGTGGATCCTTTGGTGTCGGATAAGGTGGGAGCTCTCGGCGAAGTGCTTCCCGCATTCTGGGCACCCAAAGGGCCGCTCGCCGGTGTGGGCACGGAGGTGGCGGACCAAGTCAGCGCGGAGACGAAACGTCTTGGTGCATTCCCCGCAGGAAAATGGCCGTTCCCCAGAGTGGAAGCGCTTGTG